AACATTATTATGACCAGAACGGCGCTCCGTATTTTCGGCCCATTTGACTTGACAAAAAAGAAATAGACTCGAGTATTTTATCAATCCCCAACTGAGTTTTCAAATCATTGAAATTGATGTCATGAACTATTTGAGGGTTCGTATCTGTGCTTACCTGTTTCCTAGATTTCTTTGTTTTTGCACGTGTTTTATCTACCACACCTGGGGTCTGCGTTTTACGCTTCACTCCCCTCGTAGTTTTCTTGTCATCTGTGGCATTACTGGCCGAACTTCTAGTAGCAACTTTATTGCCAAATAATTCCTCAATATCTGAGAATTTCTCAGTATCACTGTCTCTAAGAGACAACATGCCCTCATTATCGGACGCCATTTCCGAAAACACGGCAAAATTTAAGAACAAAGTAACAACCCAAAACTTACCTGACTCGCAAAAACAGTAGTGTAAAATAAATGTAGCTGTTTTACAGCATAAACCCCCCAAACAAACTTGAACAACGTTCTAAGTTTAACAGTGTTTTAATAATCGAACACACACCTGTGTTACAGGTGACTACTTGTCGCTCGCTCAAAGAAAAAGAAAATGGTTTGGCACGTGGAGTTGTGCCTTATATACTACAGGTATTCAGGTAATACATACGTCATACAGATATTTTTAACTTCTTTAAAAATGAGATTCGCTTCGCTGGCTCGAAGGAAAATGCTATATGATACCCTTTGCAGAGCCGAAAGGTGATATGTAATAGAATGTATTTAATTAGTATTTCTTAAAAGGTGACGTGTTGGTCCAACGGGCCGGATGTGTATTCTGATGATATTATTGTACGGTTGTTAATGTTCTTCAACACATGTCACTATACATTTGTAAGAAATAAACACTAAAAAACCTACTACTTTTCTAGATGTCAGGCAAAACTTTTAGAAAATACTGTATGGTTGTAAGAAAATTCTAGTGCGGTCAGATAATACGTATGCTAATTTCAAATATTTGTATTCTCTTTTGTGCATAGACAGAAAGTTAAATTTAGAAAATGAGAATGCTTTTTATATAATCGTATTTCGTTTTATTTCATCAATTTTCTAATATCTTTCATAGCACACAGGCGATTACACTTCCAATTGAAACTCATCGTTATAAACCTTAGCCACCCCAAGACAGAATTTGCAAGTTTGCAACGCTAACGACATTCAAAGTGAAAAACATTCTTTTCAACACTGTTAATTCTATGAAGAAAAACAAACCTCTTCCTTAAAATAGGTTTGAAAAATTGTGAAATTTGTCCTTAGATTTTCCTTTCTTTTCAGAAATTTTATGTAAGTTTCCCGGACATTTTGCACGCTTCTACATTCTAATTACGTCATTAAAAACTAGATGTTCATTTGTGTGCCTTTATTTTTTGCTTAAATATTAACAGTGACGTAAAGGTTCTTTGGGCTGCGTGTAAGGAACTACGTTTATTGTTGTAAAATACACTGTATAATGGTATCAATATACTTCTATCTTTACTAAATAATTAACTACTTACTAAATTAAAAGTACTTCAAATTATATGCATGTCAATTTCAATATTAATTTATATATTATAAGTAATGCATAATTTCATGTATTTATTTTCCCGTTATATATCTTTTAAAAAAGAGCTCTTTTTCCTTTCTTTATGAATTCTATTTATATTTCATGATTAAAGTATCATATGTTTTGATATGTTTCTTATGCATATTCATATTAACTATTATAAGACTTTATTCATATTAACTATTATAAGATTTATTCATAATATATCACAAAGAAACTGAATTTCTGTAAACTGTTTATATGGGTTAATGGAAAATTCGGAGATATTTAATGTATGAAACACCCTTAAACTATGATTTTTAAGGACGTTACAAGTAAAATAAAAAACACCTTTGCCAAGATATAAAATTAAAAAAAAAAGTATTCTGCTGCTTTTATGATTCATGGGTATCTATATCGGGAAAACATTCTCAAAAGTTTTATTTTCCCTTGGTTCCTTTCTACGAAATTTACAACATTTAGCCATGAAATTATCGTTAGGACTTCCGTTATGTGATTTTCACCTAACATGGCCACCTCTTTGATGCCTTTCTAAATCGCAAGCTTTAATTTCCGAGGATTTTAAAATTGATTTCTTAACTATTTCATTTCTATTTCTATTCCATCATTTCTATTCATTAACCTTCAAAGACGCACCATGAATTGTCAATTTTATTGAATTAATCTCTAGTTTCAAATGCCTGAACTCTTTCAGCTTCATTAATTGGCCACGACCAGTACAATGATATACTGTAATATTGGGAAAAAGAAGCTATCGTTTTACTTCCATAAAATCCTATATACGCCAACAATATTTTCGAAAATTACAGGGTTGCATGCACTTAAATAGTTCTTAATTTTCCACTATATAGAGAGAGTTGTTTAGTTGAGAACAAATAAAAGTAAATAAATTTGAAATTCAAGGAAAATTATACATGTACTTTAAAAAGTAAAATTGTAATTAAAGTCACGTGCTTTGAAATGAAAGCGAACTATCTTTGTTTAGTTCATACTATTTAACTAATTTAAAAGTAAATTTATTTTAGAAATGCTACTCAAATACTGCAAAGCAATTTGGTATTAATTAGGAGCCATGATAAGATCATTTTTTGTGTGTTTGCACCACAGAGTTAGAGAATTTCACACTGTGTCAATAGGGGCTAGGATGAAATTAATAATCAATGAAACGATAATAGTTTTACGACTTCCTAAAATCAATATAGGTGTTATGAAAAATCTATCCGTGAACACTTGCTGAAAATGTGACAGAAAATAAAGAGGGTCTTAATAATTCATGGTTAAATGAACAAAATAAAATTGACAGTATCATACGATACGAATTTTCAAAAAAAGAAACTCGTACCGTACGAGAAACGTAAAACAATGTTCTTGGGGGAACATAATGGTTTTGAAGAACGTTAACATTCTGGTTTTTACCTATCTGGTTCTAACAAAACAAAAAAAAATATATTAAAAACAAAACTCACCTGTCAGGACTGTACTATTCTTTCACCCATATAGTGTAGCAGGATTCTTTATCATTGATTATACCTCGGAATCTGTTCGGGAGTCATTAGCTTTTATGGTTGTGTATTGGGATCATTGATTGCAAGTCATGAACCGACACTCAGCAATATTTACATTTTTACAAAGATATTTGCCCCTGTAATTGCAGAATGAATTATCTATATGCCTCTGTTCCATAAAATCTATATCTTTTTGGATGACAACCCTTTGTTTAACGCTTGGTGACCGGATCTAGTCCTCTAAGCCTGAGCCTACCATACCCGTTTTAAAACCTACAATACGGATATAGATCATATGCATCCGTAGAATTATTGATAATGAAAGAACAATACGCATTTTACCGGTAAATATCAAAATAATGAGGAAATTGCCACTTTTTAATGCATTTTTAAGGACCTGCATTTAAAAAAGTTAAAGTACAAATGCATTTGAAATTATAACGCGGATAGTAATTCATTGATTGAAGGTTACGCCTTGAATTAAAAAAAATCATGTATTTTAAAGACCAGTTTGATTTAATACGTTAAATATAACCAACAATACATGTACAAAACATTCTTGAAAACAACACCCACATGTACTTTTAATAATTTATCACTTCCGGTACTATGTTTTAAAATCTAAGCACACAAACAACATTTGCTGTCAAGTCCATTAAAAATACACACTCTCAAACCAAAAAAATGTATGAGAGGGGATTAAGGACAGATGATATAAAAAGATGGATGCCTAGCTTGATATATATTTAAATCTGGTGATATTTCTGATGGAACAAAATATTGCAAAAGAAGAGGATTCAAAAGTAAAAGAGGACGAATTTGTAGGTCTTGTAAACTGATATCAGGACATGTAGAAAGGCTTCGATAAATAAATACAATACTGCTTTCTTATCCCTTCCAGCTTCTTCCTTCTACTGAATTCATTTTTAAATTTTTTTTGTCACACATGAAAATTAGAAGTGGAATATATAGACTTATAGTGTTTCAGATATATCACTGTCTAGATTTCCAAATCTTTTGAAAATTCACATCTACAAAAGGCTTTTGCTTTCAATAGCACTTATTTTTATCTAATATAGGAACTTGAGTGGAAGCTATAAAGTAGACCACGTAACCGAAAATCTTTCATGAAAAATGTAAATAAGAAAGTAGAAAGTATTGTTTTTAAATGAAAATTGATTTTTACAATTTAAAAATATTTACATGACAATAAAAAAAAATTAATATTTTTTCTAAACACTTATTTGCTGAGAAGTTAGCTTTACAACTTAAATTTTACAACTGAAGCGAAAGATGCACCTGCTTTTAAGACATTTTGTTAGTTTCACACTTACAGATTTGTATTCCTTGTGCCAAGGCGAGATGACTGACTGTGAGGGGTGAACAAATTTACTTGGGGATAAATTGGATCAAATCTGGAAAGAAAGCTTGCTTCAGGTTGGTCATTTCATATTTACATTTGTAAAAAAAAATGTGTAAATACATTGCCAACTAAAGGTCACTAAAATTGTTGGACATATTTTAAAAATATTATTAACAATATTTTAGAACATATTTGAATAAAGGCAAAGCCAACAGTACAGACCATGCATCAGTTTTTCACTTCTATATCAAGAAATTAGAGAGAATCAAAAGAACAGTAAGAACGAACGTTTGTGTTTGTTTGTTGTTTAATTCTCTCGAATTTTTCAATCGTATATCACTTACATCACTTGCCAGTCGAGAGCTGAATTTTTTTTCCTATACTCGTCACTTAGGGTCATTGAGCAGTGAGGGATCTTTTTCATGTCCACACCTACTGCGCCACGGGACCTCGGTTTTACATGTACGGTCTCAACCGAAAGACCGGACTTCATGTCCCACAGTGGGATTCACCCATGATGTAAGGATCAAAATCCTTTAAAAATAAGATTAATCAAGTATCCTAGTACTATTATTTAATCCAATTATTTAAATCCTTTCTCTCAGAGGATAAAAAAATATATGAGATCTTTTAATACTGAATCATTTCAACATAATCAATCAACATCGCCACGTCGTCTCCGTGCCACGTGGGTAACCAGTCTCCCCTGTGTTCCCAGAAGTCTCTCATCGGATGTGACGAGCCATGGTGCCAGGGTTTGGGTGTGTTATACTGGGCGTTGTCTGGGAAGTACCCACCCCCTACTGCCACATTGAGGAGGAGATGGAACTAAATTAGGAAAAAAAACTGAATGTAACAAATGAAACACTCCATCAAGTTTAGATTACAAAGTGATAAAATTATGTAAAAGAGAAATACGTTTAAACATATCATAGCAGCCTTTATGTATATATCCCTTACGACATGTAAAAGTACCATAAAGTAATGCTACTTTTAGTATTTGTGATTGGTTTCAGAATTTTATATTTTGAATGGTTTTATTTAGAACTAAGGAAAAAAACAGCACATAATGGCAACCTATTGTAATAAATCTACATACAAGCAATTGTACTAGATGTTCCTAGACCAAACGTCTCTTCACAACCACATGTCTCTTCACAACCAAAAAGTACACAATCCCTAACTATATTGATCTGATATTTTCACATGCCTATTTCAGTGATACTTAAGTTTCAGTTCATTCATTTTATATTTTGAATGATTTTATTTAGAAGGGGAAAAAAGCAGCACTTAATCACAACCTATGGCAATAAATCTACATACATGCAGACACATCCTTGTATTATAATTTGATGAACGTGCATTTCAATTCAAATATTACTGACATGTATGAAAGTTGGTCATGGTCATACAATTTCATACATATACTTTTTTCGTGTGTACGTACTGCGTATACAGTCAAAAGCTATTTGTTCCGCTCATTTACTAAATTTTACTTGAGAACACATTTGGATATACTAAAGCAAAAAAATAATGTAAAAAATTTCTTCCCAAACTGATTTAGGAAACATACTAGCAATTTAGCAGCAATTGAATGAATATTATGAAACAAATAAATTGTCACTCATAGGTAGGTAAATTGTTTACTGAAACTGTATATAAAAGAACAACATAGAATAACAATACTTTGATTAGCAAAATATGATTGATAACCAAAATTAACCACACCGTACCAAGTAATAAATATTGTCATCAGCAAATACTAAACATAACGGGAAAAATGGATATTACTTAAAAATCTTATTCAATTATTAGATTATTAACTCACAAAACAATTTATTAACTCACAGGTTGATCAAAAGGTGCATTATGCGAATTTCCCCAGATGTTGTGACCAGAGAAATGTGCCCAGTTCCAGAATCCTTGGGCTGGAGTGTCTACACGCAGGACTTCTTGATTGTCAACATATAATCTGCAATAGATTGATCAAAGTTCATAAGACAATATAGAAGAGAAAATCAATTAAAAATCACATTCTTAATGACAAATTTTACTGTGACCATATTACATTGCGTATTCATTTGAAATCACCGCTTAAACTCTTTACCTTTTACGGCCTTACGATTTGTTCCCCTCTATATATTCAAATGCAAAATTTGATTATAAATTGTAGCCCCACCCTACTCCCGACATAATCATAATTTGACCAAAATTTATAAAAATGTGACTAATGCCTTTGCTGAATTTTAGCTCAGGTGAGCTAAAACAAAAGTTTGAATAAACAAACATGCATCATTTTGCCATTTGCTTTACTGTACTTAGGAATTGAAAAGAAAACAAATATAAAAAAAATCCTAGAAACAAATAACTGAGTTGACTTCGAATCTTTATTGCACATTGCATGTCATATGTTAGGGTTTACTTTGCAGGAAGATTGTTAAAAGTGGCTCGATCCGTAATTTTTTGCATATTAATCTAAACAAATATGCTTCAAACTATATGGGGAATCCGTTCTTGCACAAGTAAAAATGAATGGCAAAATGGCAAAATTTAAAACATCAAATAATACAGGAAAAATAATTCAAAAGGCATTTTTACAATCTTGATAGCTTCACCATATGAGAAAATAAACCTACATAATTATCTTGAACAGAAGAACAACATCTTGAACAGAAATACATGTACTGAATGAATAGGGTAAATGCTGATTTTTACAAGATTCCAAGTCGTGACTGTCAACATATTATCCTATTTGTCGATGTGTCGGACGTCAAGGTCCCAAAACCACAAACCAAGAAAAGACGTCAGTCAAAATTTTAAATCAATGTAACTTTTTAGAGAAAATTTTTAATCAAATTGAAAATAATTTCATCATTGATTTGAATTTAAATGTTATATAAAATTTCAAAATTTTTAGCAAACGCATGTGTATTTTAAAATAAAAACTCAAAATATTTAAACACAAAAGTCTGTTCTCAGTTTATGGTCTTGGAATAACGTCGTATCATGAAATCTTAAAACTTACCATTATGATTGAGATATACATGTACATTTATCTAAATTTGACATTCATTTTTTAAAATATAATTTTCCCTTTTTCGTTTAAAGCCGCTTAGTCCGATTCTAATCGCAGAAAAATATATTCGCTTTTCTTCTTGAAAAATAATTGTCCATAAATTGTTTCAACTTTTGTCAAATTATATCCCCAAAGTCTTTTTCTTTTAAAAGATATCAAAATTCAAAAGTTAAAAAAATAATTTTTGTTAGGTCACACAAAAAATAATCCTATGTTGATATCGCGTGAAATCAAAAATTAGAAATCGAAAATTAGATTTATCGCTTACATGTATATCTCATGAAGAACAAACTCGACCTTTTTTTCCATAACAAAGTACTTATACCTGTACACGGACAATATTTTAGCCTTCGTTACTAAACTTCCTTTAAAAAAGATCTTTAAAAATATCTGATTTTTCTTTATTCTTTAAATATGCTTATTAATAAAAAAAATTCCTATAGATTGTATTCAATTAATTTCATAATTTTTAAAAGGACTTAGGCTTTTACTAATGGAAAAAATACTCGGGTTTGAATTATCTTCATAATTAGATATAATTGATAAATCTTTTTTTGTTCAAAGGTAACTTCACAGCAGATCTTAACTTCCCGTCAGGAACTTCTGTTTGTCAATAAGGTTTTTGATCTATGTTTTCCACGTAAGGATTGTTGTAATAAACTATTAAATCAATCATATAATTTATTTTCATATATTATCTATGTAATGAAGTACTTTTATTGTGTAAGATAATATGTGCCTGTTTCGGATCAAGCGGCTTTAATAACAGCCTATCAATTTTCATTTGCTACTTTAACAAATACTCACATTATATGACGGTCATTCCATTCCAGCGAGTAAGTATGCCACCCGAACCAGTCACCGTGTCTAAATTAAAAGATCAAGAGCAATATCGTTAGTTTCTGATTCAAGTGAGGAATGATATTTAAACAGATATAAACATATATAAAATCATAATTTCAATAAAATAATCCATTCATATCCAGCTTACTTTCCTTTGTGTGTGAGATAATAGGCATTATGATTACTGTCAGGTCCCCAGTGTAATGTAGACCCTACATAACTAACGCCATGGTTAGATCCACCCTCCATCACTCTTAAATTTCCTGTAAATGGATAAAGTCACATTCTAAATAATTTGTCAAAACTTGACTGCTGTCAACAGTCATAATGTGACTTGTGCAATAATTAGAGAATTAAAAAAATAGTTTTTTTTAAACCAAGCACCTCCAGTAATAACAAAATCTAAAAAAAAATGACAACATTAAAATAATATAAAATACAGGCATATTTAATTAATTAATGGAATTTAAACTCAGTTGTTTCTACGATTGTTTCTACAATTTCGTGGTGTCGAAGCACGTACACTGGACAAAATTGCTAACGCATCACCTAAGAGAATTAATGTTTTAAGTTTAAAAACCAGTTTGTGATGTTTTTGGTATATAAATATGCTACAATAATAAAAAGTGAGGAATATTAATGTCAAACCTTATAAGTTACTACAATGTTCACTGAAGTGTGACCAATTCAAAGAAAATAATAAAATCGTTTCTATTCCATTTTCGAAGAGAAAAAATATTTTCTTCGTATTTGTGTTCTTTACATTCGTACTAATTAAAAACTCAGAGAAAAGTTACACCGTATGCGGGGTTTGACGGCAGAGGAGCGTGCTAAAACAGACACTATGGCGTCTGCACTGGGTTCCTTTACAGAAATCTGTAAAAATGAAAACAATACAAAGCTCATCAATTCCACTAATGAAAAATGTTGCAAATAGATTAGCAAACCTAAATATGTTTACCATAGATGGCCACTGCATTAAGTTAGCAGCATACAATAAGTTGAAAATTATTCCACAAAACTACGTCAACCGGAAGTTGAGTGGATTTGGTATGGACACTAAGGCACTGGATGATAACTAGGTGATATGAGAGTCAATGGCAGTTTGTTATTTGATTTATAACTGGGAAACTACTCCTGTGGCAACCTCACAGACAACCTTTAGTGATCAAGAATTTTATATCTGGGCAAAAATGATGCGAAGTGCACATCTGGAAATTGGTTTTCGGACAAGAAGGTCATTCAAGGGTCTTTTCATGATAGCAAGACTTTTGTCAATCCCACTGTTTTGGAAATAATGGCATATTATATACACTAGTACCGACCTGGTAAATGTTCAATTCACAAATAAGAATTAACAAGTGGTGCGTTAGCAATTTTGTCTATTATATATAAACTCTCACTCATGCAAAAGAAATTTAAAAGAGCAACCTCTTGATTCCATTATGTCGATTTCTCCAGATCGTGGCCAGGTACCGTAATGTCTGTCACATGACAACATCCAAATTGCTGAGAAAAAGGGTGGAAAGGTAATTTAATGAAGAAATGCATATTTTAAACATATTCTAAATTTTTTATAAACAGATAAAAAAAATTGCGAATTAAGATTCATTGTACCTTTCATGAATTTAATGTTTATATATCACATAATTTATTTTAAGTCAGTTTCTGTTCCCATAAATTTCAAGTCTTTTCCGGGAAAATAAGTTTTTCTGTTGGATTTTTAAAATTACAGATGTGATCTAAATGTGCTTAAATCTCTGATAAGACAGTTTTATGGTTTTACTTTAATGCGCTCTTCATATCCATAAATTTGAGCATCATTGCACTTGATCGTATTGTTCTAAGGTCATAAATGTTTACAAACCTATGTATGACGTCAACCTCTTATATTTTACAAAATTGTTAAAGAAATTAATTTTTAAGGTGTTATCTTTGATCGTAAAATCTCTTTTGTATCACATATTAAAATGTTTAAAAAAGAATGTACAAAAGATTTACATATATTTAAAGTATTTGCAATTTGAAGTGGGGCAGACAAAAATAGTCTTCTTAAACTCTGTGGCTCTCTTGTAAGATCTAAATTACCAGAGAAAACGAAAAATTCAACAAAGGCCATATTCACTTAATTTGATTGCCAAAATATGGCTGAAATATTGCCGACTCGACGTTAAACAAAAATAATAAATCTTATATTTTATTTTCAGTATTCATTTAATCAGGCATAAAATTGATGTTACAACGTCATTTTCTCTGACGAAATTGATTATAATTCAATGCATTTATATATTTTAAAATCTCAAGATGACATTATCTGTTAAATCAATGTATTAATATTTATTGAAAAAAAGAAGAAGGTTACATTAGGAGTCAAAATGGTTTTGCTTTTTGTCGACCCATTAAAATAAAGAGAATATGTGTGTTTTTATTTTTTTTAAAGACCTATGTTATCTACTGAATTGAGGTTCGTCTTACACTTGCAAGCAATATTGCACCGTTTCAAATTGGCCCAGTCATAGTTCTCTTTAAAAAATATTTTGTGTTCTTTGAATTTGCGCTGGTTTAAATTCGCTTTCCAGTGAGAAGGTCGAAAGGGTCGCGAAATTTTCCCTGTCTATAGTATATCCGATTAATATGGGAAATTATGACAAGAACCAATCTTTTAGTGAAATATACAGTATATAATCCAATTAATTTTGGAAATTATGACAAGAACCCATCGTTTAGTGAAATATACAGTATATTATCCAATCAATTTTGGAATTATGACAAGAACCCAAGTATACAGTATATTATCCAATTGATTTTGGAAATTATGACAAAAACCATCTTTTAGTGAAATATACAGTATATTATCCAATTAATTTTGGAAATGATGATTAGAAGCTATATTTTAGTGAAATATACAGTATACTATCCAATTAATTTTGGAAATGATGATAAGAACCTATATTTTAGTGAGATATTACCTGGCCAAATCCAGTCTCCTCTGGAAATACGAGCTCGAACGTTGACACGTCCATATCTGATACAAGCGTGTGTCGTCACTTTTCCTGACATAACTGGCGGGAGAATTTCCTGTCCGAATGACGTTCTGTCACAGCCCCAGTTAACACTGTTTGTACATGTATGCCAAAGACCTGTAAATTTTGTAAACAAATATGTACTTATATACCTTTATGATTGTTTCTATCAAATGCTTATGTTAGATCAACATTCAAAAAGCAACTTACTGTTTACGTCCATTCGCCCGTGATAAAGTTTACCCTCATCAAAAGCATGATGATCTACAGTTAATGTCTAAGAAAAAACAACGGATTTCCAAGGTTATGAGTAAAATGAATGCTAATAAAACATGTGATTGTTAAACGTTAAGTATCTAATGTCAAGTCTTAAAAACTAAGATAAATTATAATTTTGCTAACCGGACCTTAAACCGAAATTTCACTTTTAAAAAAGTCCAAAAATTGATTGCACCCTCGACAAGCTGGTGAGTATCTTGAAACCAATAATTAAAAACAAATATTTTAAATAAATTAATAATTTGGCCCTTGAAAAAGAGTATGAATAATTTATTTACTCTGTTAGATTATGATATACTGTGTAATTAATATATGTATCTAGGATAGCTGTCCTTATTGCCTAAAAACAACATACCGGTTTAAGATAAAGCCATCCATTGGCTGTATAAACATTCTCTGGTGTGTACACCTGGAATTCTCCATTCTAAATTAAAACAACTTCAACATGTTCAATAAAATAATAATTTCAATTTGAGCAATATTTATTGTACATGTATGCAATAAAAACTATACCGGAATTGGGCAAAAGTTCTTAAAACTTTAAAATTTTCCTTTCTTCCATATAATACAATGTTGATGAAATGTTCTTTCAAACATACTTAACTTTCCCTTTCAATTCAAAGTAAAATATACATATAAAAATGTAAACAGGAAAAATAATGACTACATTTTTTTTTAATAAAAAGAAATTATTTACCCTTTCTCCCCAGGAGCTGTTTAGACTTTAAAACATATTAGTACTTAGCTTTCCCTTTTCAAAGTAAAACACATCAAATTAATAAAAGTTTTTTTTAATTAAGGACCTTACCTTTAATTAAGTACCTTACCTACTGATAACTTTTCAAGATATTCTAAATTCAAAATTATAATACCATTACATGTTCTTAGACAAAAAATCAGCATGTGTTACATGGGATTTGAAAAGATATCAAATTATGAAATTTTTTGCATTATTCAAAGAAAAATGTACAAAAATTATTAAACGTAAATTCCAGATTTATTTTCATCAAAATTTGTTATGGAAGAGGTGTACAAATCCATATATAGACATTAAAAGTATTGCACACGGGTCCTTTATTTAGTGGAACTCTTCAACTCTAGGGAAGAACCTAATAAAGTTCAAACTACGTTGCGTATGACCTTAAGGAAAACATAAACACCTACCCCTCCTCCCCAGGAGCTGACTTCTACTGTGTAGGAATCTCTGTTGAAGGAGTTAAAATCGTCTCTAAATACCGTGTAAGATCGCTTACTTTTCCTGGGCATCATAAGTCCTCTTGGTGTAAGGAAAACTAAAATAAATCAACATCGCCCTTTTCTGTTAAAATGATACCAACGGGAAAAAATATGGACATTTACTGGCCGATGTATTGATCAGTGTGTAAATTTTGATAATTATCTATAAATGTATTAAATTTGATTTAATGTACTTTTAGCTTCGTGGTTACTTGTATCAGAATATATGCCAAAACTTTACATACAAATTAATTTTTTTTCAGGTTATCAGTGGAGTAAAAACACAACGGAAATCAATCATATCAGCATCAATGATTTATTATATTCTTCAAGCATTCCTAAAAAACAAACCTTTATTCCACTTGGATTCCATCCATTCTCCACCGTATTCAACAGAAGTTTTGTATTCTACCAGATCGCCTATTTGAACATTAGCGTTTTGATCTATGTACTCCCAAATATCATCCCCTGTGTTAGAAAATACAAAGTTTACAAAAGGCATTACCTTAAATATCATTTAATTTATCTCACAATGAAAGATTGATACTTAATATAAAATTATTTCTTGATTCTTGCCATTTTTTGATGTAACTTCATATGTTCTTTCTCCACTCTTTGAGCGTACTGTATATAAGACCTTCGTTATGCCATCTTCATCTAAATAAAACAAAAGACTTTATATGAAGAATTAATTAATACATTTGTGATTGATGAAATAGACAGATGACGATGGAAAAACTACAGTTTTCACTTTGACTTAAAAAATTTATTAACTCTTTTCAGTAAAATATTATTACAGGAATAATATATAATACTAGTATAATCGTTAATTAATCAACCGTCGTCGATATATCTAAATGTTGAACAGAAGTCCATAACATCACAACAAACTGAAAAGCTTTGACTTTAAATGAAAACAAAAATTAGACTCCAATTAGGTCTTCTAATAACGGGGCGCAATTAGTACCATTTGATTGTCTAACAGATAGTTCGAAAACGATTTCCAAAAACTACATTCATGTTGATATTGTCAAACAGAAACACAAGCATCTTTATAATAAAATCTTTTGAAGACCTTTGTGTATTTTCACACAAAATAAGTTTACAAATGACCAGTGACAAGGTAAGTAACCTAACGAGTTCCATTTATTTGTTGATGCCATTTAAGCTGGCCTTAAAGTCATCGTGTTAAGTATTTGTATAAAGTTTTGAAAGTCGTATGCTAAACCTATTTGGGCTATGTATATTGCTTTTACAACAAAACAAATCACAATATATTACACATATCTTCTTGAAGTATTTTCTTAAAAAAAAAACCCTACCTATCTTAAAACTTACCGACAATTCCAAGTCTAAGACCCGACTCTCCTGTGATAGAGACTTCGGGGTAGAAGTTCTTGGCGGAGGCAACCAGAGCAGCGCAAAGAAACAGAAAGCCTGTCCTCTTCATTTTTTTCTCTGCGAGTCATGCAGAGAATCTTATCATTTATACCGCAGTCAATGACCTTGAAATTTTATCAGTCTTACGTAAAAAGTGCGACTTTTATACTATTTATTGGCCAAATGCGATCTTCTAGTATTTCACCTTTTTCTGCAATCAGTTGCATGTAGTTGTGAACTTTGAAAAAATAAAAATAAAATCATCTCTTCTTTCCGATGCACCAGTAAAAATAAATCTTAGAAATCCTACATCTACATGTAATGGTGTTTCTAGGTTTACTATTCAACAGTTAAAAAGAAGTATATAAAAATCGAATAAAAGGCATTCACATCTAGGTAACATTCTTGTTGACCTGAAGATAGGATGATGCTCTTTAACTTTTCTACTTCGACATATGTCATTCACTCTATTATTTTGACAATAAAACTAAATGATAATGCAACTCTATACATTTTTTCCCCCAAAATGCAGGCTTAGGACGTTCTTTTCGTCACATTTTCTGCAAACTTGAATTTATTGTGAATTCGCTTAATCCATCAGGATTGGATAAATCAATTTTTTAATGAATTAAAAAACAACTAATTTACAAAGAGTTTATCTTTATGCATGCATATAGTGCACATATACAAACGAATTAAAACTATTAGATGTATGTGATTTATACGTATGTTTATGTGTTTGTATCTTTAAATATGAAAATTTCCTTTGCATTTGATATGGACTAAATGTTGACCTTTCTACATACTTCAAATAACAATTCCGCATATCATCCCACTCACATATTGCAATTCTGACATATTTTATCAGGAGACAAAATCTCTCTTATCAACGGAGTTGGATCATGATATTTAAAGTCTTAAACCTTTTTTGTCAAGAATGTTTTTAGTTTCTACTAACATAGCTTAATTAAAAATCAAACACAAAATAGGGGGGGGGGGTCAATATGCTTTTTGGCGCTAGAGTATTTTGCACTGAAATCTGTGTCTTAAACAAAAATCACATCTTCGACGTTTTCTCTCATTTCTTTATCCCAATAAATCATAGTATAATATATAATATAACTCTATTTAAAAAAGGACACCTTAAAATTTCAAATTGCTTCACATAATCAATTATTTGACCTTTCTGCACTCACAAAATGTGATTTTTCTGGCATTGGAAATTTAACAAACAAGAAAATTATTTTAAAGTCTTAAACTTTTATTGAATTTAAGCAGATTGATCAGTTATATATTCAGAAAAGAAAAGCAAAATTAGGGGTCTATGATGTAATTTTTAATAGATATTACATGTACTGAAAGGGTTTAATTTTATGCTAAAAATTGGCTCTATTTTTTCCTGGACTTTTTTAATATATTTCTGTACTTGTCTCAATATAATGAAAGAATTCATAAGATATAATTAAATAAATAGTTCAGAACCAGCATAAAACATTTCACTGCAAAAAACAACTCTGTGTGCAACCAGCATGGAAAAATATGAATCCAAACTTAATTGTACTATATATATTTCAAAAGGAAAAAAAATGATCATTTTCTTCTGAAGAAAACTTTCCGCAACAAAATATATTTCCTGGTTTAATCCTATTTTAATGGAATTCAATCGCGTTTTTTTTAAAAATTGGATATGGTTTAATTTGCATTGTAAAATCCAGATTTAATGTTAGAACTTAAAAATGATGCAGAATTTTGGAAATAAAGATCGAGACCAAAATCTGCTCAAAAGCTCAGGATCGAACCTCCTTAATCAATCATTTATATAACTCTAATGATTGTGATAATTTATAATTAATACTCTGGACGTTTGGTTGATATAGTGACCTTGACGCCCTTCATTGGTCGTATTTTGGCTGATGTGTTTCATACCAATTGTTTGGTATTCTTAATACTTATTTAAGAAATGAATTTAATTTTTGAAGATTCATGAGGTTATGAACTACGACGCTTCACGCCGGCATATTTCATGAAGCGCGTTAGCGCTTCATGATAAATATGCCGGCGTGAAGCGTTGTAGTTCATATACCTCATGAATCTTCAAAAAATTAGATTCATATCTTATATTTACATTATTTTTCTGATGACTTGCCATAAATTTACGCCGTTCAACTGTCATTTTTAAAACAAAAACGTGTGCACTATATTTGTTGACTTTTTGACGTTAAGAGCGGTATTATGACGTAACAATGGAGATATTCATGCTCATTCGTGAAAAATACCTAATGTAGTTCATGAGGAAATATACTACATTTTATTTTGTAAAGAATCATTGGGGAAATTTATTGGAAATGTAAATATTTGACAATTGAATTATTTTTCTATTGTATAAATACACGACGGATCTGATTTGTCAACAACATACTTTTCCTTGAAACATATGGAGATAACGAACAGTATTCAAGATCAAAAGTCCATAAAACAACACAAAATTAGAGCAGAGCAAACACAGACCTCCAAAACGTCAGAGGTGGGATCAGGTGCCATGGAGGAGTGAGCACCCCTGCCGACCGGTCACAGCCGCCATGATATATCATATCAATTGGTAGAACTTTGATATATTCATAGCTGAAAAATAACAACCATTCCCATTTGATTTTTTGTGGTTTCTTGCCAATTGCAGCTGAGTTTTTATCCGTTCTTTTGAAAGCAGTAGCTCTTTGCAGAAACGTAGACACGGGCACAGTACAGCTACAGTAACTTGCATTTTTGTGTACATTCTGACCCTTTAACGCGGGGTGGTAATAGTATTTTTCATCTGTTTGACTGCTTTGTATGTTAATAAGGTGGCATTTTTCAGAGTCATCTTCTAAAATCTAGAATAATAAATGATTCCTCCCACAGCAAAATTTTAACGTTTCAAACCGTATTTGCAGAAGAATTTTACTTTTCATAAAAAAAAATTTACTATTTAAAAAATACACAATACTTCTTTATCCTACCCTTTAGTGTGGTTTCTTTCTGCAATGTTATCCCTTTTCGGAGCTACATTTCGGCAAAACCAAGAGGAGTACGATAAATGATGAGCAAAGAAGTCTTAAAAATTCTAAACTTTAAGAAGAAAATTTAAAATTTTCAGGTACATGGTATTAAAGAAAGCTCGTTTTACACAATTTGTTAAACCCTACTGTAGAATCGTATAGTAGAAACATCGTACCATTTATTGATAAATTCATCTTTAAAACATCCACTTTGGAAACTTAAGATAAAAATTTTAAAGCACTGTGCTTGACATTACGAGGGACGTTCAATAAATAATGTCCTTAGCTCGATGACATACAGCATAGTAGTCATATGACATAAAGCTTGACTTTCTCTCATTATTGAATCTTTAATGAATTGATAACAGTTTGTGTGACCACTTTTCATCACATTATTTCATCGTGGGAAGCTGGAAAACAAGGGCTATTCGAGACACTGCATTAAAAATGAATGGTCAAGAATCAGTAAACTAGTCAAATTAAACGCTTCATTAAAGCAGCTGTAAAACTTGTTAATATCCCAAATATATATTAACTGAAATATGTGAAATTTACAGCAACCAATGTCTGTTTTATAGACAAGTGAACATGTAGATTTCCATAAACAAAAATTTTATAATGGGCATCAAAAATGGGTACCGTCCTTGGCAACAATATCTTACAACAACCGATGTAAATTTGCGAAATTTCAACAAATTATCAATGATTATATTTTATTAACTTTAGACTTTAGATAAAAATCATTTTGGGGATAGTTCATACTGTTTTAAAGAAACATTTTATAGTAAAAAAGTTTAATACTCAAAGGTCACCCTTTATTTTGAAAAATGAGTGAAAACGACAGCATGTAGGAATATCCAAAAAATTATTTTAAAAAATCAAAAACTGTACTTATCCACGTTTGTATGAAATTCTAACAGATAATGAAACTTGAATCCATTTTGCTTTAAGCCCTCAAAATAAAATTACAATAAGATGCACTTGACAAAATTGCAAAGGCCTAAGAAGAACAAAGAATTGCAATAGCATGAAACAGTTTTATATGCTATTTTCTTAAATATTAGCGGTCTTGTTGTTCAAATTCATATTCGGGGAGGAAGTTCAATTTCTGGAGGAGTCTAGAAAACAATGTTTTTGAAAAAAAAAATGAAAGGTTTATGAGAGGAAGGAAACAGAATGAGGAATTCACTACATTAAATGTCTTCATGACGGCGTCCAAACCCACAGGCCATGAAGAGTAAAGGAGTTTGGAGGATAAACAGAAAGTTAATGTTTTGTCACACCAACAAAATTTGCCAGATCTTTCAACCTTTGACTTGTTTCATTTCCTAAATTTAGAAAAACATCTATCAGAAAGAAAAAACAAATACAGCAAATCAAAGGATCTGCCATATTCCAGTATACGAAGGGTCATACTCAAAACTGTGTTCTAAAAACAATTAGAAATTGAATGAAAATGTTACGGATATATGCATTTTAATTGAAAGAGAATATTTTACTAAAATCATTATGACAAAGTCATAGAAAAACGTTTTTTGTTTCTTTCCGAGCCCCAATGACATTATTTACTGAATGCTAATTTATATATAAAAAATTAAAGTCATCACGTTCATCTTAGAGCTTGGTTGTTAGATTACCATTAACGTCTTTTTCAAGTAAAATATCTGAATATGAAACACTTGACATTATATATGTAAAATAACGTAGGGCTATGTCATCGTACTGAAGTTCGGACAATGTAACTTTTATTACAAACATGTGACCTTAATTCGTGCGAAAAACCATTTGAGCTTTAAATAATGTATTGAGCTGTATTGCTGCATAAGTAAAGGAAGTTGACGATAGAAAAATTAAAGTCATCACGTTTATCTAAGAGCTTGGTTGTTAGATTACTCTGAACGTCTTTTTCAAGTAAAATATCTAAATATGAAATAGATTTGTCTTCCCATAGGTACTTGATTTCGCTTCATGGATTTTCACGTGTTTCATTCCTCGTTTGTAATGATTGTTGATATTATGTCCTTATTCCATTCTTCTTTTTTATCAGTATGTGTATCTGGGGGCGATGCA